CGTGCAAACTCCACACGGACAGTCACCCGAGGGTGGAATTGAACCCAGGTCCCTGGTGCTGTGAGGCAGCAGTGCTAACCACTGAGCCACCGTGCTGTCCTTTATCAAAACATATTTGATAATGAGCCACATGAAGAAATATTAGGGGTCAGCGATCAAAGGTTTAGTTTTAAGGAGAAATTTAAAAGAACAAGGGAATCATGCCCAAGATCTCTCTCACCTACGAAGAGAGACCTGCCAGACAGGAAGTGCAATGGAGGTTCACTAGATTAATCTCTAGGCTGGCAGGTTTATGTTATGAGGAGAGATTGTGAAAATGGTGTTTATATTCCCTCGAGTTTCAAAAGAATGTGTTTGGGGGGGGGTGACCACATTGAAACATAGAAAATTCCTGCAGAGCATGGCTGGGTGATCATCGATAGGATGTTTGCCCTGGGCAGTGAGTCTAATAAGCAGAGGGTATCATCTCAGGTGAACGGGTTGGTCTGTCAGACAGAGATGAGGAGGAATTTCCTCACTCAGAGTTGCTAGTCATAGAATCGTACAACTGCCTTGCATTTGGTCCATATCCCTCCAAACCTTTCCTATTCATGTACCTAACCAATTATCTTTAAAATGTTGTAACTGTACCAGCCTCCAGCACTTCCTCTGGCAGTTCATTCCACACACGCACCCCACTCTGTGTGAAAAAGTTGCCCCTCAGGTCCCTTTTAAATCCTTCTCCTCTCACCTTAAAAACTGTGCCGTCCATTTTTAGACTCCCTACCTTTGCTATTCACCCTATCCATGCCCCTCATGATTTTATGAGCCTCTATAAGGTCACCCCTCAACCTCCAATGCAGGGTTAAAAAGTCCCAGCCCATCCAGCCTCTCCCCATAACTCAAACCCTCCGATCCGATTACATCCTTGTAAATCTTTTCTGCACCGTTGCCAATTTAATAATAAGTTTCAAAATCTCCCCTCCCCCACCGCATCCCAAAACCAGTCCAGCTCATCCCTGCCTCCCTAACCTGTTCTTCCTCCCACCTATCCCCTCCTCCCACCTCAAGCCCCATCCCCATCTCCTACCTACTAACCTCATCCCGCTCCCTTGACCTGTCCGTCCTCCCTGGACTGACCTATCCCCTTCCTAACTCCACACCTACACTCACCTTTACTGGCCCCATCCCCGCCTCTTCAACCTGTTTGTTTCCTCTCCACCTATCCTCTCCTCTATCCATCTTCTATCCGCCTCCCACTCTCTCCCTATTTATTTCAGAACCCCCTTCCCCTCCCCCTTTTCTGATGAAGGGTCTACGCCCGAAACGTCAGCCTCTCTGCTCCTATGATGCTGCTTGGCCTGCTGTGTTCATCCAGCTCTGCACCTTGTTGTCTCGGATTCTCCAGCATCTGCAGTTCCTACTATCTCTTAATAATAACCTACCTAGAGCAGGGCGACCAGAACTGCACACAGTATTCCAAAAGTGGCCTTACCAAAGTCCTGTACAACCTCAACATGACGTCCCAACTCCTAAATACAAACCTTTGGGATTCTCTGCCCCCAAGAACTGATGAAGCTCTATCATTGAGAATCATCAAGACAGAGATCGATAGGTTCCTGGAGACAAACAACGTCAAAAGAGACACGGAGATAGTTCGGGAAAGTGAGGTTGAGCTAACAATGACAGAGCAGTATCCTGCTCCCATTTCTTATATAAAAAAGGGACAAAAGACATCAACAAGCTTTAAAAGACCAATGACCTACAGCAGAGCTCCTGAGAGAAGAGGTTAAAATGCTCCACCCCTGCTGTGAGTCGTTAATAAGCTGCCTCCAGCGACAACTCCAGAAAAGGTTACATCACCACATAATGTGGAGGGAAAAGGTCTCAACTCAGTCAGCAGCGAACTAATGGCAACCAGAATAATGTCATGATGGGTGCAGACAGGAGGCCAGTGAGAATGGGGGAGGCACAGACACAGTGGGAATGTCACTGAGCTAATAATTTGATTTGATTTATTATGGTCATGTGTACCAAGGTACAGTGAAAAGTGCTGTCTTATATAGAGTATGATCTGCTCACAAAGCACAAATGCATCAGGGTAACAGAACAGGGTGCAGTGTTACAGTGGCTGAGAAGGTGCAGAGAGAGAGATCAGTATTAACATTAAACACTCAAAAGTCTGATGATAGCAGAGGGGAAGGAGCTGTTCTTGAATCTGTTTGTACATGTATACAAATTTTTATATCTTCTGCCCGACTGAAGAGAGTGGAAGAGAGATCTTTGACTGTGTTGGTCACACGCTGAGACTAATGTGTTGGCGAGGAGGGGTTTGAATCGAAGGTGGAGACGAGGGAACATTTCTTCACTCAGAGGGAGGTGAACCTGTGGAATTCACCGTCACGGAAGATTGTGGAGGCGAAGTCAAGGCGGAGACAGATACATTTTTAGATTTTAAAGGGATATGAAGAGAAATGTGAATTGAGATACAGGATCAGCGGCAATCATATTGAATGGGGCAGCAGGCTTGAAGGGCTGAATGGCCTACTCCTGCTCCTATTGTCTATGTAACGGCAGCTGGTGAAGTTTGAATTCAATAAAAAGTTTGGGATTAAAGGCTCAAGCAATGGGGGGGCCAACTAATACTTTTTTGTAAACACCCTGATGTCCTTTAGGGAAGGAAATCTGCCTCTCCTACCTGGTCTGACCCACATGCGACTCCAGCAATGTGACTGGCTCTTAACTGCCCTCTGAATGGCTGAGAAAGCCCCTTGGTTCGAGGGCAATTAGGAATGGGCAATAAATGCTGCTCCTTGCTGGAGACGCCCACATCCCATGAAAGAACAAAATAAAAATCAAACAGAACGTCTTCAAGAAACCAAAGGAGTAGTTAAGGCAAATTTCCAGGATTCCGAGAGCGGGGAATTCTCTGCCACTGAAAGCTGTTAAAGCCAAAGTGTTGAATATTTTCAAGAAGTTAGATACGGTTCTTGGGGCGAATGGGGTCAAAAGGTGTGGGGGGAGAAAGCAGGAACAGGGGACTGAGTTGGATGATCAGCCAGGGTCATATTGAATGGCAGAGCAGGCTTAAAGGGCCGAATGGTCTACCCTTGATCCTATGTCATCAGGTCTTATGTTGGAGGTACGGACACACCACACATAGAATACTCGAGCCGTACTTGCAGGAGTTACAGAGATGGTGTGGATGGACAAATAAGGCTTTTTGCATTCCCAGCAAAGGCCCTCAGTATGTTCGGAACGTTCCAGAATGAGGGTTCTCTGTTTCCGCACACACCATTTTATCCAATCATCAAATGGCCCTGATGTATTCCCTACCCTTTCGGCTTCTTGAGTGAAAATGGTTTTAGGCACATGGGCAGGCAGGGAATAATACAGAGATATGGAGCCTGCACAGCAGATGAAATTAGTTTATAGATTGGCATCATGGTCAGCATGGGCACGGTGGGCCGAAGGGCCTGTTCCTGCACTGCTCTATTCCAAGACCCTTGCAGATCACTTTTAATCGATGCCCCACAAGTGGGAACAGTTCCTCCCCAACTAGTCTCTCCAGCCCACTCATGATTTTGAAAAATCTCAATTAAATCTCCTCTCTCCGCCTTCTTCTCTCCACGGAGAATAGTTTCAACTTCCTCAGTCTATCTTCATAACTCGGGTTTCTCATTCCCTACAACCATTCTTGTGAACCGGCCTTGCACTCACTCTCTGATACGTTCACATCTTTCCGATAATGTGGGGCCCATAACCGTACACAGTGCCCCAGCTGAGGGCTAACAGGTGTCCTGTACAAACTCAGCATCACCTCCCTGCCCTTGTCGCCTGTGCCCCTATTGATAATTTTAAAGACTCTATACACATTATTAACTGCTATCCCCACGTGCACTGTCGTCTTCAGTGACCTGTGTGCATATACCCCGAGCACCCTCTGCTCCTGCGTCCCCGTTAGAATTGTACTCCCTTTTTTAATGTCTTTCAATATTCTTCTGACCAAAGTGCATCACCTCACAGTTCTCTGCATTGTATATAATCAGCCACCTTTCTGCCCACTCTACCAACTCTTCAATGTCCTTTTCAGTTCCACACATTGTTTCCACCGCCCACCATCCACCACCCCC